ACAGAGGAGATATGGGATAACATCATGCATTGAGGTAGGCAGTGTATCCGAGATACAGCACGATCAGCTGGGTCCAATAACACGTTCTAGAAGCTGGATACAGGCTGCTAACATCGTATAAAGCAGTGTTTCTCAACCTTGACAATTTTAAGGCATGTGGACTTCAACTCCCAGAATTCCACAGCCAGCACTGTGGAATTCTGGGAGTTGAAGTCCACATGCCTTAAAATTGTCAAGGTTGAGAAACACTGATATAAAGGCTCCCTCCCAGTGACTACTTTTAAAGCCCTGATGATGTTGGGTGGCCCCAACGAAAGCTCTGCTCATTAAATTTTTTACTACTTTTACTACTTTCCTCTTGGTGATCGGTATTTATTGGTTTTATTATGGACATACCCAAGAGTCGAATTTTTAGCTTTATAACTTGTCAATATATATGTGTGTGTGTGTGTGTGTATATATATGTATATGTATGTATGTGTGTGTGTGTATATATATATATATATATATATATATTATATATATATAAATTTTGTTTGCGTGAAATGCCGTTTCACGTTTTAGGTATTTGAAATTATCACTCATTGTGTAGAAGAACAAAGGATAGATGCTTGCATGTTACTGAAAAATACATGTGGGGAACTTTCAGTCAATTTGTCTTTTCTTTGAAATGCTCCCACTCACTGCTTAGAAGATGGTCGAAAGCCTTTGACCATTGAAGCAGTTTTCATAAAGGTCCTGGGAATTTTAAATGATTGTTCATATACCAAAGATGTAGGAGTTACTTTTTTTCATCTTCAAAATATTTGGATTTTTCAGTGCTGTTACAAAAAACAGAAAGACTCCATCCAGCCACCTCATTCTCTGTCGTCCCCTTCCTCTATTGCCCTCAATCTTTCCCAGCATTAACCTTCCTCAAATACTCTTTCATCTTGTTCATCAGATGTGTATACTTTCACTTAAATATGGACACATCTATTGGGATGCATTTAGGTGAAAAGTCTTGGCATATTTCCAGCCCTGTGTTGCCAGTTGAATCATAACAATTCTTTCCCCCCCATAAAGCAATATCAGATCAAATGTTTTGTGCTTCAAGAACCAGTAAGGACACAAAAGGACTAAAGACTAATTTAATTTAATTAATTAAAGTCTAAAAAGCAATTAAGTCTAAATTAAAACCGCAATAGGGGAGGAACGGTGCAGTGTGGCCAAATTCTTGGACAAAAATCACCAGTCGCATAATAACAAATCCCGATAACATAAATTTGCATAAAATGAGGAAAGTCTGTGGTTTATTAAAAAAGAGGACTTTGACAGAAATAACAGCATGATTATGCAATGCTTACTGAGGAATTCGTCAACTAAGGCATGCAGCCTTATCCTTTTTCAGAAAGAAAAAGGATAAGAGAAAATGATAACAAAATCAGACTGTCAATTTCCCACAATGCTAATTATGTGATGTCAATTAGGGCAAGATAAATTATAAATAATAATATGCACCATAGCTATATAATCACATACTTGCTAGGTATCAAATGTATTACAGTTAACAGAGGAAACCATGAGCGACAGATATACAACTGATGTGAGATCGAATTTGGGTCGGTCACCGGGACCAGAGATTTACTCTTCAGAGCTTTCAGAAACACACTGGAGCCCATCTTCAGGGAATTTCTCTCTATTGGAATAGGGGCTTTGGGCTGTTCTGTGCGTCGTATTTATGTGGTACCTTCCTATTGGCTGATTGGTGTGTTGATGGCTGGCAGATTGGCCGTCATTTCCTTGTGCTACCAAGTCCTCAGCTCCTAAGTATTTGACAAGCTGGTGGTAAATCAACACTTCTGTTGATAGACAAGGGGGTCAATCTTAGTTGCTGCGAAATTAAATGTATGTTCTTGTTCATTGTAGTGTGAAACTTCCAATGTGTTTGGGTCGCCTTGTCTGAGTGCTCGCTTGTGTGTTCTTACAATCTGGTGGTTAGCTTCCTCCCCATTTGTCCTACATAGTCACAGGGGATCTAGTAGATTACATTGGAAGTATCTCCCACCTCCAAACGATCTTTTTCAATGCATAATTTGCCCTCGTATGGTAGCTTCATTCATGAGATACAGTGGGGCAAAAAAGTATTTAGTCAGCCACCAATTGTGCAAGTTCTCCCACTTAAAAAGGTGAGAGAGACCTGTAATTGTCATCATAGGTAGACCTCAACTATGAGAGACAAAATGAGAAAACAAATCCAGACAATTTTTGCCCCACTGTATACATCTATCAGTTAGAGGTTCTGTAAATGTTATCCAAAGCAAAGTTTGGTTTATGCAAAATAATGGGCACACTAGCAATATCAGACAGGTCGAGTTCATCTGTAAATGAAAATTGATGTACAATGCTAATAGGACTCTAATAGATCTATTTATATAGATACGTAACAATGCAACCTTGTCAAGTTTTTCTAACATATTTCAAATACAATACTTTGTCCTTATATACTATAGAGTTTATGTTTTCATAAACTATATAAACTTTTCAGTATTAACAAGGAGTAATTATTTTGCTTCATTGCTAAGATGAATAGCTACCTTAAATAAGTCTTGTAGTATTCTACTATAATGCGTAGCCAACGTTGCACAAGGTTGTTTTAGCTGTTTGAAATTGTTTCTTGGATTTACTGATTGGGAATCTGTAAAATAGATATTTGTTTTCACTGTAAGTTATTTCACTACAGCCTCACTACAAGGGTTCTCTTTAGAATGAAATTTTCCTACCCTGTCTGCATTTTTAGTCCTCTTATTTTGAAGCTTAGCTGTTCTTGTTGGTTTTATGTGAACTTTTGCACCGGGGTCTCTCTGTCAGACTTCAGTTGAAAGAAGGAAATAGTTGGGTGTGAGTGATTAAGCATAATCTAAACATCAACTAAAATGCTTTGTTATTTCAGACTTCCCTCCCACCAACCCCATCGTAATTCCAGATATGGAATTGTGGGCCAATCACTTAGGCAGCTGTCCAGAGAATAAATTGGCGATTTCTTGATTTGATTATGGGTTTGAGGTCACCGTAATTTTTTGCGTTTGATTTAATTGTACAGGTTAACTTGTATATTTAACTTTTAAAATGGTGGCGTTTGTAGATTAGATTCTATCTTCTGAAGCAGCCCTGTTGCAAACAGTTTTATGCAATTAAAGTTCATGTTAAAAAAAATAGACATATAAACTGCCTCCTGTTGGAGCCAATGTATACAAAGATTTGCCCTTGTAATATGTGTATTGTGAACTGTGTTTTTCTTTAGCAGAAATATAGTATGGGACAGATTACTGCAGAAGTATAATACACAGTGGCATGGGCATTCACAGAACCAGGAGAAAAATTGTAGTACAGGATTTGTAGGTGCCTTACTTCTTTGGTGGGGATGCGATGGATCATTGGTTAAAATGCTGAGCTTATCAGCTGGACAGTTGACAGCCTGGGTTCAAGACCCTAGTGCAGGGGTAGGCAACCATGGCTCTTTTATGACTAGTGGACTTCAACTCCAAGAATTCCTGAACCAGCATGGCTCAGCTTGAAATCTCTCCCTTTCCCCTCAGCATGGCTGGCTCAGGAATTCTGGGAGTTGAAGTCCATGAGTCATAAAAGATCCAAAGTTGCTTATCTCTGCCCTAGTGCTGTTCAATGAGGTGAACTCTCATTACTTGCCCCAGCTCCTGCCCACTTAGCAGTTTGAAAGCAGCAAATGTGAGTAGATAAATAGATACCACTTTGGTGGGAAGGTAACAGCATTCCATGCATCTTGGCATATAGTCAGGCCACATAACCACGGAAATGTCTTCTGACGATGTTGGCTCCCTCAGCAGAAATGAGCACCATGCCCTAGAGTCGGACACGACTGGACAGGGAAACCTTTATTTTTACCGTAATTGTTGGTTCAATATATTTGCCCCTTTTCTTTTATCAACTGTAAAGGTTTACAGTACTGCATGACTGTGAAGGAGCCATAGTGGCACGGTGGTTAGAATGCAGTATTGCAGGCTTAATTCTGCCAATTGCCAGCAGTTCAATTCTCACCGGCTCAAAGTTAACTCAGCCTTCCCTCCTTCCGAGGTCGGTAAAAGGAGAACCCAGATTGTTGGGGGCAACTAGGCTGACTTTGTAAACTGCCTAGAGAGGGCTGCAAAGCAGTGTGAAAGTGGTATATAAGTCTAAGTGCTATTGCTATTATCGTATTCTACAATACACGAGCCATGTTTTGTGAGAGTGCATTTGCCTTAAGAATGTGTTGGATATATTTACTTTAGTAAATTGGGCAACTTTGAAACGGTATCAAGATAAAAAATCGTGAGATAGGAACAAAAGAAGCTGCCTTATCTTAAATCAGATTATTGGTTCTATACCTGTTGTGTTTTGTCTACACAGGCTGGCAGCAGCTTTTCATATTTCCAATGGAAATTTTCCCAGCTCTCTCCAGATTAAACTAAGGGCATTCTGCATGTGAAAACAGATAAATGGTTGCCCAGTCTCTTCTTGAAAACCTCTAATGATGGTGGAGCAAGAACAGTTTCTTTGCTGTCAGACTAAATGCCAGACTAAAGCAATTATTTGCATAATTATAGATACACTCTGTGAATAGCTAGGGAGGATCCGTCCTTGCCCTCTTTTGCCCAGCAGATATTCCAGCTCTGTGTCTTTTCCTCCTGTGATTCCAGACTATATTCCACCACACATTCTTAGGCTTTGGGTTAAAGCATTGACTCTAAATACTAGTATTTGCTAGGCATTCTTTAAGAAAGAATTAGCAAGAACAGCACCAAGTTTGATCACATCAACCAGCAGTTTTATTGCATATGGTAATACCACTGAAGGAGCAGAATGTTATTTTCATTGCTATGGCCATTAACAGAATTTCCTTTTATATATGACGGAATTCTTGAATGCATTGTGTTTTGATATGATAATACTATGAGTTTTGAATGTCTTAATAATTACTCTGTCTTTTTTGTTTTGGTTTACAGGAGGGGATTGCTTACAATTTACATGGCTAATTTGGTAAGTAATACTATTATAATGCAGTATACATAAGCATGAAAGCTGTGTATAAATATATAGACTGACTCCTGTTTTCATTCCATGAGATGTAGTCCCTTCATTGGCTTAACTGATTTCCAGAGCCCACATCTATCTTTCTTTTGGGGCTGAAAAGACAAATAAGGTTTCTGGGCTGAAGAGTATTATCATGTTGTATTAGTCTTCTTCAACCGATATCTTCCAGCCAGCCCTCCTATCTAATGCAGATTGGATTTCTGGGAGCAGTGGGTTATTTAATTATTATTGAAGTTGTTGATAATAAATTTTGCTTGGAGAAAAAGTATATAATGTGACTTGCATTACATGTCAATAATAAAAAAACAACAAAACTACCAGAGAACATGTCTTATGATTTATGAAGATTGTATTTTATGATTATATTCATGATTTATCACTTGTTACTTGCATGTACATTTAGAGCTCATGCATCTGAGAAAAATTTCTAGTGTATTCAATCACACTTGGCCAATAAAGAATTCTATTCTATTCTATTCTATTCTATTCTATTCTATTCTATTCTATTCTATTCTATTCTATTCTATTCTACTCTACTCTGCTCTAGTAAAGAAGTTATTTTAGGTGTTCAGCAAGGTGGAAAACAGGAAAAAGTAGTTAGAATGAAATGCATGGTAGGGTTGTTTATGTTAGGATATACCTGCTTAGGTTTATTTTCAGTAGGAATAGAAGAACAACACGGCTGTACTAAAGAAGTATTAGAAAATAGACGGATTGTGTGAGAAATCTGCATTCTTAAAAATATTCATTTACACAGGATTCCTATTTTCCCCATAACAACTACCCTATAAAATAAGGTACCCAGGTGGCTCTCTTATCTAAGGTAAGACTAGAACTCACAGTTTCCTAGTTTCTAGCCTGGCGCTTTAACCACTAAACCAAACTTTTGATAAACATGTCTAAAGACCACAACAAAACCTTTATGATTTTTTTTCTGTCTCCTCCTCCTCCATCAAATTTTGACTGGTGAAAAATTCTTGGAAACAATACCATTTTCTAAACATTGAATTAGCCAATGAAAGTATTCCTTAACTTCTGATTTTGGAAGTTGATGTGTTTCTCATAAGTTGCCCACCTGTTTTTCCATGTAATATTCAATAAAAATGATATTAAAGTAAGTTGAGCTTTAGCTCTAAAATGGGAGGGTTTTTTCCCCTTTATTATTATAATGAAATATATCTGCCCATTGTAACATAGCAGTCTTAAAGTAAAATGTACATTTAATATAAGCACCACAGGATGTTTATTTTTTAATTTGTTCAATATATATTTTTTGTTTCCTCTAGAAACCCAAGAATGTGTATATAGTTCTCTTTCTTTCACTTTTTCTTGGCAACAGCAACCCAGTGAGTGCTAGTTGTGCTAAGTAGGTTGTGCTGAGAGACAAAGACTGTCCCAAAGTCAGTATTTGAGCTTCCATGGTTACTTGAACCAGGTTTTCTGAGTTATCACACCCTTAAATACAATAAAATATAAACATGGAGTCTTTTAGTCAAATGTGTGATGAATTATAAAGATTCTATATTTTCTGGATCATGTTGGAAACATTTGACTATGGCCAAGGTTTAGAAGTATAGTATCTTCTTTTATTGTAGAGTTTCTGAGAGATTATCAAGTGTTCATAGGTACTACATACCAAGGCCCTGAATTTGAAATGTATATCCTGCCATTGTAATTAGGAAGATCTTGCCAATTCTGGAAATGACTGTTTTTTAAAAAGGATTTATATTTCTACACGTATCAAAGTCTGCATTTGGGAACCTGTGACGCTCTAGATCAGCAATTCTCAATCTTCGTGTGACGGCGACCCTGTCACACGAACGCGCCACGCATGCGCGGTGCGGCGAGCATGTGTGGCGGCGCCCCATGTGCGGCGGCATGCACGGCGGCGCCCCCATGCGCGATGCACATGCGCGGCGGCGCCCCCATGCGCGGCGTGCATGCGTGGCGGCGCCCCCTGGGGGGAAAATGGCGGATCGCGTTGTTTCGCGACCCCGTAAAATGGTCGATCGACCCCAAATGGGGTCGCGACCCATAGGTTGAGAACCGCTGCTCTAGATGTTGCTGATTGATGATTCCTAGTATCTTTCCTTCATTGTTTTGGTAGTTGATACCACTGAGAGTTACCTGGGCCAGCACAGGTTCCTCATTCTTGAGGTAGGTAGATGTCTTTTGGTTTTCGTTTTTAATAAAACAGCCAATGATCTCACTAGGAGCCTGTACAGAAAGATGTATGTAAAATAATACTAGCTTTAACGTAGCGGGGAATGTGGACTGTAGAATCTGAACCAGTTGCAATCAATGAATCAACATTTCTGTAATACCAAGGAACTGAAAATGATAGTAGCTGGTACTGGAGGCTGGACAAACGTTCACAAGTCTTTCCAAATCTATTTTGGATGGCACATGTTGACGGCAAGACATTTTTAAGATGGTCAGAAAAGGGGTGTATTGGTAACATATATGTGTATAAGACGACCCTTCTAAAGATATATTGAGATCAAAGAGAGTCCCAGATTCCAGCTAGAGGAGAAAATGATACGTGATCACAGCAGTTATTTTTATCTAATAAGGTAGGGAAAATGGGCCTAAGATCACTCTTGAAAGTAAAAGACATAAAAGGTAAAAAACTAGCAAAAAAATTGAGGAAGTACATCAAAGAAGATCCCAAATATTTAAACCTAAGGAAAAAAAATCAGTGGATGGGAAAGAACAGTGCTGAAAGTGTTGTGTGTGAGTAGTGTTATTCAATGGAATAACTTGAGATTATGCGCATTTCTTTATTAATCGTTGTTCTACTTCCTTGCTAGCTTTTAAAACAGTTAATAAAACACATAGCATAATATTTAGCTTCTATAAAACAATGAACTGGGAATAAAGCTAACAGAATGTCTGAAACAAAAACCTGTATCCCTGTTAGGTATTAATGGGTTTAGCCTGGTTTGGAATTTTTGGGAGCTCGTTCTTTCAGAAAAAAAAATGTGGTCATTATCTTTTTTATTATAATAATAAAGTGCTCGCCAAGCAAGGGAGCCTTTAAACAAATTTGTTTCTGCTGTCTCTGCTTTTATTATTTAGACAAAGCACGTTGTTCTCTCTTTAGTCTTTTAAAATCCGTAACTTTAGAATGTTTTGATTTGCCTTGAAAAAAACTTCATTTTGAGTATTCTCTCCATTTCTGGGCCTGGCTGGTAGACGCGTTCTCCAGGCTGGGGGATTTCAACCTGTTTTCACTTAGCTTGGTAGTTCATGGCTACCATGACCATGATCCGAATTATTGGCCCAACAATTTTTTTCTTCTTCTTCCCGTCTAGATCAAACTTTAAACTGCTAAAACGAAGCCAACTTCTTGGCTTTGTGGTTGACCAAAAACAAGTTATTATTTGTACATGTTTCTGGTAGTAGCGGACATACCAGCAGATGGACTGAGCTCTGTGCTTCTCCACATTCACACAGTGTGTTGTAATCTCCTAAGAGCATTCACTTGAGTATATTGGTTTTACAATTTAGGCACTCCTACTCTCAACTTATTCTGGCTCCTCCAAGTAATATAAGGGAGGTCAGATCCTTCAGCCGTATCCTCCTTTAATGTTATTCCTTGCTCGATAGTCTCCTTCCTCCATCTTTTAATTTGATTTTGTCCTTGTGTACCTTCTTGTGTTTGTTCTTGCCATAGAACTGCCTTTTGTTCTTAGATCTGAGTCAACAAACTTGGGGCATATGTCTGTTCAGAGGATGTTGAGGATCATTCTCTTGCTTAGTTCTCTTGGCGTCTCTCCTCATCTTAATTGGGCAATGTCAGCAAGAGGATATATTTTCTCAATTGGTGTAGGTTTGAGACAAACTGTCACTAACCGTACTGCTTCATTGAGGGTGATATCATCTTGTTTTGCCCGTGCAGATAGCACACTCTGTTGCAGAGACCCTCAAGGCCAAATGTTGGGGGAGGGGAGGGGCATACATTAGAACTGGTTTGCACCTCAGGGCAGTGGCAATGTGATTTTGATGTTGTCATCTAGTCCCTTGTTGGGCATGGATTACCCCTGCTTAACCTTGGAGTTTTCTGTGGCTGTTCCCCACAGCAGGGAGAATCAATCTTTTCCAATTGCTGATGGAGAACAACTAACCAGTGGAACAGCTTGCCTTCAGAAGTTGTTCTCTAACACTGGAGGTTTTTAAGAAGAGACTGGACAGCCATTTGTCTAAAATGGTATTGGGTCACCTGGAGCAGAGGTCCCCAACCTTTTGGGCACCAGGGACCGGTTCCATGGAGAGATGTTTTTCTATGGACTGGAGGGGGCGTGGTTTTGTGTGCTGCCTGCAGCTCGCAGAGGGGGCTTTGCTTGTTTGTGCGGACCAGTTGCTGGCATGCCATGGCCTGGTACTGGTCCACGGACTGGTGGTTGGGGACCCCTAATCTGGAGGACTAGAAGGCGTCCAGTCCCTTCCAAATTTGTTATTCTGTATTCTGATAGCTAGTAGACCAGAACCTGGGTCTTCCCATTTTCTAGCCTTAAGCATAAAGTTAAATGTACCGTATTTTCCGGCATATAAGACGACTTTCTAAACCATGCAAATCTTCTCCAAAGTTGGGGGTCGTCTTGTACACCGAGTTGTCTTATACACCATAACATACCGTATTTTCCGGCATATAAGACGACTTTCTAACCATGCAAATCTTCTCCAAAGTCGGGGGTCGTCTTATACGCCGACGTCTTATACGCCGGAAAATACGGTAATAATAAGTCCTACTCCAGAATCTTAATTGTAAAGTTAATCATAATCACGACGTGCAGGGTTGCACAGAAATAAAATAAATGTGTTCCAAATATATCCACATATGAAGGATGTTTCAGTGAAATGAATTAATTCTGCAAAAAACTTCTCAAATGAAGAATCAAAGTGTGTAAGAAAGAGTAAATAGATAGCCCAATCACAGCTGCTAA